GGTTTGTCCATTCTAGGCTACTGTATAAACATGACGGCCTCTGATGGAAGAGGAGACGCTCCCTACGTAGATATGAAGGGCTCATTCTAAGAGAACGTTACAGGTGATTAAAGACTAATGAAAACTCGGCCTTGTTTACTATTCTACATATTACTGCTCATGGTTTTGGAGTGGAACGTCCAACAAGCTCATACGGGTATGATGGTCAGGTGTCCACATACTTTTGGCCATATAGTGTAGGTGTCAAAGGAGTTAAACACTTCTTATAGTGTCAGTGTGAGTGGGCGGAGCTAAACTGCTGCAGGCTGCCTAGGTGGATGTATGCGAAATGTGACATCTCAAAATCTGACATAACTGATATAATATTTATGAAGCCATTTGTTGCCAAAATGAACATTTTAGGCTATTTTCAAATATAAAAATCCTCAAAAAGTGTAGTGTGTTGTTGTAGATGAGGTCATTTATTCGAGAACATTCACTGCCTCAAGCAAAAAGGTTCCTCCTGTATTCAGAACATTTTAATATTTCACTCTCAATTTAATCTAAAATTATTCAATCAAGTTGATTCATGGTGAGATTTCATGATTCACTGAATCATTTCCAAAAGAATCTTAATTAACCCGACTCATGGTGGTCAGAGATTCACAGTGTGTTACGCTAAACTTAGCTTTGAAAAGATTAGGATAATTAGTCAATCTCTCACCAGTACTCTGGCTCCCTTAGTGATGAGGTCAGCAGGTGCTCTGAGCTCTGATTGGTTCATACAGGACAGGAGGCGGTACACCCAGGCGTTCGAGCACAGCCATTGGCTGAAGTTGTGAGCAAATGCCAGCGGATACTAAAATAACCAGATACAGAGGAGAAAGAAAAAAGAAACGTCAAACACTGAGAAAAACAGAGTCCTGGACACTCATTTATTTATTTCAGCATTAAGTTTACTTGCAAAAACACTCACTGTGTTTTAAATGCATTTTGCATTCAAACATTATATAGTGCTTTACTGGCTGACAGCCCAAATAAACAGTAATGTAAACTGTGTGTGTATGAGTGTGTACCTGTTGGTGCAGGTAAGTGTTGAACAGTATCAGGTAGATGTAACGTTCCAGACTCTGCAGCGCCCTCTGGAGGAAGTACAGTTTAGTGCTGCTTCCCTACGATAGAAAACAATCAATTATTGCTAATGATGCTCAGAAAAACAGCCAAGAAACCGAAAAACGGAAAATCTGACAGTAAATAAAACAGTTTACATAAAATAAACTTACTGAAATTACTACATTATGTAGCTACAGTGTGCACTGTGATATAGTGATGATCTGTGTTATCTGGATGCTTTTTCTTTTCTTCTGTCTCACCAAAGCTTTGACTGTGGATAGAAGTTGGTGTTACACGTGACGCTGCGTTCTGGTCCAGTTATTTACCACTATTGTTACTGCATTTTTAACGATTTTGGGCCCTGAACAGATGGTCATTAACAAGTATTACCTCATTACCAGTTTTGATTGGCTCTTACTGAGGGCATGTAAAAAATACCTTAGCGGTAAGAAGGGACCAGTGCGCTCATCACTGCTATGGTAACTTTATGAATAGAACTTAATTACCATAATTTAACACACACAGCTTAATTTTCGTGAAAGCATCCTTAAATGTATTAAACATCATCCTGAACTGAATTGAAACTGAACTGAACGCAACTGAAGTATAAGTCCAGCAGAATCAGGGACGATCTATGGCTATCAGAGCTAGTCCTTCAGTTCCTGCCATACATGTCAGAACTTGGTCAAAAACAAGGAAAAAAACCATGTTTTATATCAGAGTGAACATTTTTTGTCTGTTCTAGATCTGAAGTGTGACAGACATTATCATATATCTGAGCTTGTGTGTATCAGTGTTACAGTCACTCTTTCAGTAAAGAGTCCTGCATAGAGCTGCCGCCGCTGTTTTACATTCCTAATAACTAACCGGAACACTGCTTAGACTACGGCTCATATTCACAGTCAGTGATGTACCAAGAACTTCCAGAAGGACGAGACTGACGTCCTACCCATTGTAAATCAAAGCCTGGTTTGTTGGTTCCTCTGTCACTTCATAATTTTGTTGGTAGTTAATGTAACATATAAGGCCTTCAGTCCAGCTCCTGAACTCCTAACCAAGTCCTCGCCTGGCTGAATCTGTCTTCATACCACAGAGAAAGGAATCCTAATTGGACAATTTTCTATTTTGGGGTTTTAATATTACTTTCCAACCAAAACTGTTTAATATAATAAGAATCATTATTCCGTATCTGAAGGCCAAGAAGGTCCAGAGAGTTCCCCACTGACAAGAACTCACTAAAAGCCAACGGACAATCTCCCTCCTGAAACAATGTTGGGTAGAACTCAATAATAAACGGAACCGGAGAAACTCCCTCCGGCTATGAGGGGTAACAACTTCCTCACCTGAGACTGGTAATCCTCTACGATGGCTTCTAGTTTCTTCTTGTTCTCGTAAATGGCTCCTTTAATGTCATGCATTTCAGAGCACAGCTCAATAGCACGGTCCACCTAGAAAGGAGGACAGGAGAAAAGATGAACACTGATCCTGTAAGCCTTAGCAACCACCTGGGATACCATTATAATGGCCTACCAAAGCCTTAGCAACCACCTGGGATACCATTATAATGGCCTACCAAAGCCTTAGCAACCACCTGGGATGCCATTATAATGGCCTTCCAAAGTCTCAGCCACCACCTGTTCCCTCACAAACATTCTGTATTTAGTTTACAGTAATGACTGAATAATTTGTGGTAGATGTTGAATTTTTCACAACAGTTGCTGAATAATTAGAGTCGATACTAAATAATTCATAATATGACTGAATGCCTGTGTTTTAGTGTTTAACACACTGATATTCTTCTAGAATGCACTAGAATGAACGATGGAGATCAGTAATGAACGACTGCAGCGATGATCGTGATAAAACAAGTTCACTTACCTCATCTACGATTTGTTGACCGTTGGGCAGTTTGCTGATGAGGGTCTGGATGACCTGGAACTGGGCTTTCAGTTCAGGCTTCACCGTTTCCTCAGTTCTATGGTGAAAAAAAACAGTAAATATTATTCCAGTATTATTAAAAGGTTATTATATTTGACAGTCAAGTAAAATAAATTTTGATTTATGAATCGAAATATTTTATTACAAGTATTGTTATAAACATCTGGTTTGAAGTTTGTACCAAAATGATGATAAAAAAAAATAAATAATAATAATAATAAGAATAATAATAATACATTATAAAGAAATTATTCTAGCATATTATAGCATAAATGTGTATTCCTATGTTAATACATCATAACACTCATACATAAATATTTATCAACATTTTTATTTAGTTTTTATGTTTTTTAACATAATTATAAAAAAATACATTTATATTTGCATTTATTTGTAATAAGAATAATGACAATAATAATAATAATAATAATAATAATAATAGTTGTTGTTTAAGTGTTTATAGGCTTACTGTGTGTCAGTGGGTGATGGTGGTGGGGGTGACTGCGGAGGGGGCGGAGCTCCTGTCAGTCGCTCCATCACCAGCGTTCCCAGAATCATCCCCAGATTAGTACGACCAACACCGACCTGACAGCTAAACAACAGAGCAGGGAGCGGCCTGGACTCGTCCCGATTCAGAGAGAGAGAGGGGTTCTCCTACAGACAGACAGGCAGGCAGGCAGAGAGAGAGAGAGAGAGAGAGAGAGAGAGAGAGAGAGAGAGAGAGAGAGAGAGAGAGAGAGAGAGAATTAAAATTTAAATCTAATGACACATTTGTAAATTCTCAGGTAAACAACATGTGGGAATTTACTCCCACATAAACAGAGAAATCAGAAATAATATATGGATCGATCATACACTGTATGTCTTCTGTATGGATCACACATATACGTCTGATACAAATACAGAAGGATTTTCTCCAAAATGGAGAAAAAACTTTACAGGAGAAGGAAAAAACCTATTTTACTTTTGACGTAAGTCAATGGAACCAGAATTATTTCCAAGTCATTTTGGGTCGTTTCTTTCAGACAAATGATGTCAAAAACTGTAAAACGTCAAAAATGGAGATACAAGGTTTTCTTCCAACAGCAGCGATATTAAAGTACTATATGCCATCCCATATTCTATCATATTGTTAAATATGTGCTATACTTACATGTTTGAATAAGCTGATAAATAGCTGAAATATATGTCCTATATTTAAAAATGGCCATATGCGAAATGGCAGCTGGATATAAGGGGAATCTATACATGCTAATATCACATATTTGAAATCCATCAATTCAAAATCTACTTTTGGATAAACCCCAGAATGAGTGTGGATTTGTTATTGTTTACATTTTTTGATATATAATTATACAAACTGCAATGAGACTACGGCAACACCAACAGCCTAAAAAAGTCCACTCCCAAAAACCTTCACTGCAAGCTTAATACAGAACCTCCTGCACAGCAGCTAAAAACACTGACAGTGCTGCAAAAGCACTGCAGTGTAAATACTGACCGAGAAAGGTCAGGAGGGTCCTGGTGAGAAGTTTACAGGGTTTATTTCATTCATTTATTATTTTATTTATTATTTTATCTGCAAGAGCGACACGTCCAAGCTTTACAGCTTCATACGATATCTGTACTTCTTTGTTAAAACCCAGTGTTTAAAGGTCTTGTTGGTTTGTTATTATCCTACTACATACTGATTTTCTTGGCGGTTCCCAATTCACACTGAACTGGGCGTAAACTGGCATGCTGACAAAATGAGTTTGTGCCTGGACCAGTTAGGAAGGCAGTGGTTTACAGATGCATTCACACAGGAGCTCTTACCCTTAATATGTTCACAAAGGCATCAAACTGCTCCTCTATTGGTGCACCCTCCATAGGCAGGGGCAGTCGGTAGTACCTGCAGTAGAAACGGTCAATAACACAGTAATCAACAATCAGTACAGTCAATACACATCTGAACATCTACAGAGTATGAACATTCTTCAACTGAGCACCACAACAGTCCATAAAAGACCACTGCTCTACAACAAAACACCATCACTCTCCACCAAACATCAATATTTTCAACCAAAACACCACCATTCTTCAACCAAAACGCCATCATTCTTCAACCAAAACGCCACCATTCTTCAACCAAAACACCATCATTCTTCAACCAAAACACCATCATTCTTCAACCAATACACCATCATTCTTCAACCAAAACACCACCATTCTTCAACCAAAACACCACCATTCTTCAACCAAAACGCCACCATTCTTCAACCAATACACCACCATTCTTCAACCAAAACACCACCATTCTTCAACCAAAACACCATCATTCTTCAACCAATACACCACCATTCTTCAACCAAAACACCATCATTCTTCAACCAAAACGCCACCATTCTTCAACCAATACACCACCATTCTTCAACCAAAACACCATCATTCTTCAACCAATACACCACCATTCTTCAACCAAAACGCCACCATTCTTCAAGCAAAACGCCACCATTCTTCAACCAAAACGCCACCATTCTTCAACCAAAACGCCACCATTCTTCAACCAATACACCACCATTCTTCAAGCAAAACGCCACCATTCTTCAACCAAAAACGCATCATCTTCAACCAAAACACCATCATTCTTCAACCAAAACACCATCATTCTTCAACCAATACACCACCATTCTTCAACCAAAACACCACCATTCTTCAACCAAAACGCCACCATTCTTCAACCAAAACACCACCATTCTTCAACCAATACACCACCATTCTTCAACCAAAACACCACCATTCTTCAACCAAAACACCATCATTCTTCAACCAATACACCACCATTCTTCAAGCAAAACGCCACCATTCTTCAACCAAAACGCCACCATTCTTCAACCAATACACCATCATTCTTCAACCAAAACGCCACCATTCTTCAAGCAAAACGCCACCATTCTTCAAGCAAAACGCCACCATTCTTCAAGCAAAACGCCATCATTCTTCAACCAAAACACCATCATTCTTCAACCAAAACACCATCATTCTTCAACCAAAACACCACCATTCTTCAACCAAAACACCATCACCCTCCATCAAACCCAGCATTCTCCACCAAAGCACATCACGCCAACCAAATTCGATTCTCCACACATTCTCCACTCAAATATTGTCATGCTCCACCTAATACCAGCATTCACCACCAAAATACATTATTTTCTGCCAAACACCATTTTCCAACCAAAACACCATCATTCCCCAAACAAACACCATCATTCGCCCACCAAAGCACAGCATTCTCCACCGAACACCAACATTCTCCAACCAAACACCAACATTCTCCAACCAAACACCATCATTCTCCAACCAAACACCATCATTCTCCACCGAACACCATCATTCTCCACCAAAGCACAACATTCTCCACCGAACACCATCATTCTCCAACCAAAACACCATCATTCTCCATCAAACACCAGCACTATTTACCAAAGCACATCACTCTCCACCAATCACTATCAGTTTCCAACCAATACTACCACATTCCCCATTTAAACACCATCATTCTCCAAGACACCATAACTGTCCTGCAAAACACATTCTCCAACCAAACACCATAATTGTCCAAATAACCAACCAACATTTTCCACTAAACAACGTCATACTCCATCAAATACCATCATTTTCCATCAAACACCATCATTCTCCACCATCGCATCAGTTTTCTAGTATAAAATAGTACACATGAAAGTATTATCTATCAATAACAGTAAGAATGCTTAGCTAGTAAACCGCACCTGTATGCAGGCATGGTGAAGAGCGGCCTCTTGTAGACCTCCTCAGTGACGTGGATGTCCTCTTCACAGGAGATGGAGATCTTCTGGGGCTCGTCTTTAAAATGCTCGATGTCGTTATAGACGTAGAAAACATTCTCGTTCAGCCTGGCAAAGTCATGGAGCTGAAAAGAAACACAGTCAGGTGACAAACACATAAATAGCATGTTGTGCCTGTGTGTTAGTGGTCATTGGTAACTGGTTGAAAATAGTGGGCATTTATTGAGAATTTCCAAATGTCAGAAATTGAAATATTAAACATGACTGTTTTTTTTTTCCATGCAACTAGTGATGCTGGGCAAACTGTAATGTTTCAGTTAAATAAGTCGTTTTCATCAATCGTGTTTAGAGGTGATATAAAAAAATAAAAAAAAGCCTCTGGTGAATTGTTTACTGACTAATATCTCCTATTCTTCTATGAGAAGCATTTATTGAGGTTGTTTAAGGACTAATATCTTCTATTTTAGTGTATGGGAGTGTTTACTGAGGTTGTTTATGGACTAATATCTCCTATTCTAATGTGGTTATTGAGGTCATTTATGGACTAATTTCTCCTATTCTAGTGTATAGTAGTGTTTACTGAGATCGTTTGTAGACTAACATTTCCTATTTTAGTGTATAAGTGTGGATATTGAGGTTGTTTATGGACTAATATCTCCTATTTTAGTCCATAGTAGTGTTTACTGAGATCGTTTATAGACTAACATTTCCTATTTTAGTGTATAAGTGTGGATATTGAGGTTGTTTATGGACTAATATCTCCTATTCTAGTGCATAAGTGTGGATATTAAGGTTGTTTATGGACTAATATCTCCTATTCTAGTGCATAAGTGTGGATATTGAGGTTGTTTATGGACTAATATCTCCTATTCTAGCGTATAAGTGTGGATATTGAGGTTGTTTATGGACTAATATCTCCTATTCTAGCGTATAAGTGTGGATATTGAGGTTGTTTATGGACTAATATCTCCTATTCTAGTGCATAAGTGTGGATATTGAGGTTGTTTATGGACTAATATCTCCTATTCTAGTGTATAAGTGTGGATATTGAGGTTGTTTATGGACTAATATCTCCTATTCTAGTGTATACGTGTGGATATTGAGGTTGTTTATGGACTAATATCTCTTGTTTCCATGTATAGAAGTGATTATTGATGTTTTACATGAACCAATATCTCTTATTGTAGTGTATAAGAACATTAACTGAGGTTGTTCTCCATAGCATGTGAAACATAGCCTGATACATATCTGTACAAACATATCTGACCTCTTTCCGGATATTGAGCTCCAAGGTCTCCACTGGAACGTCCTTGCTCAGGCCATGCAGGTTCTCATGTAAGTTCTCCTTCCTCCGTGGGGTGTAGGGAACAAAGTTCTCCTCCAAATGCAGAAATAACAACGGCTCCTCACGCACACAGAAGAAAATCACCTCCTTTAGAGAAGAGAGAGAACAGTCAGTGTGTGAAACTTCTGCCCCGGCCAACTGTAAGTGCTATTATTGTGAATTAGTAGCATCTAAGCACAACAACAGCTCAGCTATGAGGAGACAGACCACACATTCCAGGAGTTTCAAACTGCAACATTAGAACAAGAACTGTTCTTCATGAAATGGGTTTCCATGGATGAAAAGCGCCACCACTGGACTCTGGAGCAGTGGAAACGTTCTCTGGGGCGATGAATCAGCTTCTCTACCTGTCAGTCTGATGGACGAGTCTGGGTTTGGCGAATGCCAGGAGAACCTTACCTGCCTGACTGCACTGTGCCAGCTGTAAAGTTTGGTGGAGGAGGGATGATGGGCTGGGCTGTTTTTCAGGGGTTGGGCCCTTCAGTTCCAGTGAAGGGTGATGTTGATGCTACAGCACAAAGACATTTTACAGTTATACACTTCCAGTTTTGTGTCAGCAGTTTGGGGAAGAGCCTTTCCTGTTCCAGCATGACTGAGTCTCTGTGCACAAAGCAGCTCCATAAAGACATGGTGTGACCAGTTCGGTGTAGAGGAACTCCAGTGGCCTGCACAGAGCCCTGACCTCAACCCCAGTGAACACCTTTGGGATGAACTGCCAGGCCTTCTCATCCAACATCAGTGTCTGACCTTACAAATGCTCTTTTGACTGAATGCTTGATGCTCCAAAATCTTGTGCAAAGCTTCCCAGAAGAGTGGAGGCTGTTATAACCGCAAAGGGGGGCAACTCCACATTAATGTCCATGGGATTGGAATGGGATGTCCAATAAGCTCATGTAGGTGTGATGGTCAGGTGTCCACATACTTTTGTTCATATAGTATATATCCAACTCAACTGAGTGTACATGCAAAATTTGTCAATTTTGTCTTTTCCATTAAGCCCTTTTTCCCCCCAATCAAGACACAGTCGCAGTGTCAATGTGTAAGGAAGGGAAATGCTGAGTATTCATCTTACGAACAAGCTTAGAGTTGAACTGAAGTATGTTTTATAACATTATATAGTGTTTACTGGAGTCATGTAGCCGATTTGTTCTCTTTACAGCTGGAAAATAATGGTTTTAAGACGTGAATGCATTTCTATGTTTGACAAACACCATGGGAAACATTCTAATTTAATTTCTGAGCCCTCTGGGGGGCGCTAGTGGCCCATGGGATGCATAATGAAGAGCGTGGCTCTTATGGATCCAATTCCATGTTGTGTGCACTTACAATTCATCAAAACATGATAACATATGAGTATTCCTGTATTCTGACCTCGTGGCCTTGGCTCTGCAGCTTCTGCAGGACCTGTTTGAAACCAGCCAGGCTGGGCTGGCCCATGCCGAACAGCGGGTAGCTGCCTTTGCTCTGGCGGAAGTTTGGAGCGCCGCACGAACCCGTCGTGTTGAGGACGTCCGCCTTGCTGAACACGTCCAGCACCATGAAGTAGGAACCCTGAGGAGGAAAACACGATTGAGCTTCAGAGAGAAAGAAGAAATTCAGCGAAAAGTTGATTTTTCTTCACTTTTAATATTATTTTGCTAAGTTTTAGCTACATTTGAGCTGTTGTTTCACTTCTATTATTCTTTTGTTTATTATTATTTTTTTTTTATCTTTTTATTTTCATTTTTTACTGTCAGTTTGTCTTACATCTCCTATTTCTTAATTTATTTCATCAATTGTTTTTATTTTTTTCCTCCATATCTGATCTGTTATTTATTAAGCTACTATACTATTATAATTGTAGTTTATTGATTTCTTTATTTTTTTTATACATTTTTTGCACTATGATTACTATTACTTTTTAGCACTTTTTTTTATTTTATCATTTTTTTATTTATTCTATTTTTTTTACTTAACAACTTCTCAATCCCTGATTTCTGTATTGACTCAGCTACACTGTAAATGATGGTCTCCCTCAATGAACTCTGAGTTTAAATAAAGGTTGATTGATTGATTGATTGATTGGTTTGCTTCTCTAGTTTTAGTGCTGGAGCTACGAGGCTAATCTAGCTAACAAGTAATGGATGCTCATACTCCACCAAATAGCATGATGCTAACTTCAAACATAAATCATCACACACTTGTCTCAAACTGTGTGGAGGTAATCAGTATTTCTAAGAGTCTTGATTATGTGGTTTCTAACACTGTATGACTCTCTATAAAAAGACTTTCTATAAATACATCATACAGTCTTTAAGCAAAAGTCTGAACTTAAATGTTGCCTTTTTTTGCTAATTTTAGTGAACAATTTCTGTTCTTTTTATCACTTTGAAAATCAACAAAAACGTAATTTGACTGGGGTGCTCAAATTTCTGCACACAGCTAAAAGCATCCGGAAGCCTGAATTTTGCCAATATTTCATCTAATTTTTATAGATGACAACATTGTTGAAACTTTCTTTTAAAAAGTGATGGAGAGTAAAAATAAATAACATAAGTAATAAATTATATATATATATATACACACACACACACACACACACACACACATACATACATATATATATATATATATATATATGACAATAATAAACCAGCAAAACTCAGCTGTGTCAACAGTGATGTTAAAACATGATACCAGCAATAAAACTAGATTATTTTCTCATTTCAGCCACATTCAGACAGGATTAACATAAAAAAGAATAAACGCTGCTGACGTGAATAACGATGATTAACACTAATGTTCCACTCGACACTGTATCTGTAAAATAATGACTGTAGACTGAGGTCTGATACTGCAGCGTAACATCCACTTCTGTACCTTCAACTGTGTAGGTTACAACAAAGGACGGTGAAGTTTGCCTTCATACAACACTATAATGTGGGCGATTTGCTAAAATGGTCCATTTCACCCCTCGCCCCTACCACTGAGCCCTTAGCCCTCTGTTTTGCGTGTTCACATCTAGGGGTAGGGTGTCCCGATTCTTGTTGAGTTAGAGGAGTAGGGTGAAGTGTTGGGGCTACATGATCCTCCAAATGGAGGTTTTTCAGAGACTCCAAACAGAGAGTTATGAGGAAAAAAGAAAAACCGGCAAGATGGAGAACAAGAGACCAACGAAACACACAAATGTGAGAATTTTCTCTGTAAAAAAATTACAATAACCACTGTTTTATCTTAGTTTAATGTAGCTTCAAAGTCATTTTCTTCATAACAAGCATAAAAAAATCGCTAACAGCATGCTAATGTCTCGGTAGCTAGCTGGCTAAATTTCCTGTTCCACCTTAAATAGTCCAGCAGTTCTGACGCCTGAAGCGCCAGAATGTAACTGCTGCTCCATTTAAGGTGGAACTGGAAAATTCTAACAAGAAGCTGGTGAATATCTGACTTCAGCTTCATATCACTGAAGAATTATGGGTGATAATAAATAATTGCCCCCCTCTTTGAAGGCATATGATGCCCTAAATGTAACTAAAGCCCAGCAGTGAGGAGCTGAACTTTACCCTCCTCTGCTGTCACTGCAGACTGGCAGGGTCGCCTACAGAGCAGCGCTGGTAGCTGTTAATGAAGTGATGCTCTTTTTATTTGAGGGTCCCATTTCAGAGGGAAGATTTCAACCACTACCCTGTAACTCAGTTCCGAGGGGTTAGGGTGACACTTGAAAACAAGGGGTAGGGGTAAAAAGAAGAAATGGGACTGGGCCCATGATTTTTATGCAGGACAATGCTCCATCGCATGCATCGAAGGACTCCACTGTGTGGCTAGCCAGTAAAGGCCCCCTTCCTCACCTGACCTTAACCCTATTGAGAACTTGTGGGCCCTTCTTAAACAGGTGGTTTACAGTGCATCTCTCTGAACAGCGTCTGGGAAGCTGTGGTTGCTGCTGCACAAAAAGTTGATCGTCAACAGATTAAGAACCTGACAGACTCCATGAATGAAGGCTAATGACTGTTATTGAAAAGAAGGGTGGCTATTTGTTTATGAAATGTCAGAAATGTTTATTTGTAAATTTTGAGTTGTTTATTATTCTCACTTTAACAGAAATAAACAAGTGAGATAGATTTTCACATTTTTTTTCATTAAGTTGCCCAATAATTCTGCACACACAGATATTCTACTAAGAAAGCCAAAACCTCACCTTTATTAACATTTAGGACTGACCGAGGGCTCTGAAGTTGTTCAATAATCAAATTAATCCTCAAAAACACAACTTGCCTAATAATTATGCACACAGTGTACAGTCAAGATGACTGTAATAACTACAAGCAACTACAAAGCAAGTTACCAGCTACTATTACAAAGCAAAAAGCCTCTTCAATATTATTCACTCTTTCAGTTTTCTTTTCACATAAAATGACAGGAAAAGTGGTTACGGTTCCTGTTCTGCAGAGGAAAAGCGCTTACACTGCACTTCAGTTTCATTACGGTACAGATTAATCTCAACATCTTTCAGATATTTCAGAGAAGCGTTCACAAAGATCTCAGAGTTTCTGTTCATTTCCTTAACAAATACTAAATAAATAAGTGAATAAATAAATAATAATGACGATTTAATACATTCTATTGATAAAGCTCGTCTCAGTGACACACAGGCGTAGATGTTTTCTACACACTTAACACCTCAGACATATCAAGCAAGAAATTCTGTAATTCAGTTCCTATAAAGCTGATTTTTGGCTGCAATGCAAATAAATGTTGACAAAGTGAAATTCAGATATTTACAACATCACTACTGACCAGAAAATCTGAAAATGTTTTTTTTTGTAAAACTTTTCTACACTGTAAAAAGTGCAGCAGCGCAGGTTTGAAGATTTGAAGTGCTGCTGAACTGATATGAAATTTTGCTTTTGTTTATCTAAACCAGGGCTGTCCAAAGTGTAGTCCACCATTAAAAGTGAAGGGGACAAACCAGGCATCTCAAGAAATGTCAGGGACCAGATCAGGCAATTCAGAGTGTGAGAGGACAAAATTATATATTATACATTATATGCACTACTTACATAGCATTTTAAAAAAGCTATATAAGGTCAATTTCACAGCATTGCAGAAGATGGAAATAACTGACTTTCTCAAGTGAGGCATTTCAAAAAGTGGTGGGGACAAAATTAAGCATTTCAAAAAGTGGTGGGGACTCAAAAAGTGGTGGAGACAAAATTAAGCATTTCAAAAAGTGGTGGGGACAAAATTAAGCATTTCAGAAATTGGTGGGGACAAAATTAAGCATTTCAAAAAAGTGGTGGGGACTCAAAAAGTGACGGGAACAAAATTAAGCATTTCATAAAGTGGTGGGGACAAAAGTAAGCATTTCATAAAGTGGTGGGGACTCGAAAAGTGACGGGAACAAAATTAAGCATTTCATAAAGTGGTGGGGACAAAATTAAGCATTTCATAAAGTGGTGGAGACAAAATTAAGCATTTCAAAAAGTGGTGGAGAAAAAATTCAGCATTTTCTAAAGTGGTGGGGACAAAATTAAGCATTTCCTAAAGTGGTGGGGACAAAATTAAGCATTTCAAAAAGTGGTGGGAGACAAAATTAAGCATTTCATAAAGTGGTGGGGACAAAATTAAGCATTTCAAAAAGTGGTGGGGACAAAATTAAGCATTTCAAAAAGTGGTGGGGACAAAATTAAGCATTTCCTAAAGTGGTGGGGACAAAATTAAGCATTTCCTAAAGTGGTGGGGACAAAATTAAGCATTTCAAAAAGTGGTGGGGACAAAATTAAGCATTTCCTAAAGTGGTGGAGACAAAATTAAGCATTTCAAAAAGTGGTGGGGACAAAAGTAAGCATTTCAAAAAAGTGGTGGGGACAAAATTAAGCATTTCCTAAAGTGGTGGAGACAAAATTAAGTATTTAAAAAAGTGGTGGGGACAAAAGTAAGCATTTCCTAAAATGGTGGGGACAAAATTAAGCATTTCCTAAAGTGGTGGGGACAAAATTAAGCATTTCCTAAAGCGGTGGGGACAAAATTAAGCATTTCAAAAAGCGGTGGAGACAAAAGTAAGCATTTCCTAAAGTGGTGGGGACAAAATTAAGCATTTCCTAAAGTGGTGGGGACAAAAGTAAGCATTTCCTAAAGTGGTGGGGACAAAATTAAGCATTTCAAAAAGTGGTGGGGACAAAATTAAGCATTTCCTAAAGTGGTGGAGACAAAATTAAGCATTTCAAAAAGTGGTGGAGACAAAATTAAGCATTTCCTAAAGTGGTGGAGACAAAATTAAGCATTTCAAAAAGTGGTGGGGACAAAAGTAAGCATTTCAAAAAAGTGGTGGGGACAAAATTAAGCATTTCCTAAAGTGATGGGGACAAAATTGAGCATTTCAAAAAGTGGTGGGGACAAAATTAAGCATTTCCTAAAGTGGTGGGGACAAAATTAAGCATTTCCTAAAGTGGTGGGGACAAAATTAAGCATTTCCTAAAGTGGTGGGGACAAAAGTAAGCATTTCCTAAAGTGGTGGGGACAAAATTAAGCATTTCCTAAAGTGGTGGGGACAAAATTAAGCATTTCAAAAAGTGGTGGAGACAAAATTAAGCATTTCCTAAAGTGGTGGGGACAAAATTAAGCATTTCCTAAAGTGGTGGGGACAAAATTAAGCATTTCAAAAAGTGGTGGAGACAAAATGGAGCATTTAAAAAACGGGCAGTACATTTTTAAAAGCTACATAAGCTCAAATTCACAGCACAGCAGAAGCTGGAAATGACCGCCTTTACTAAGTGAGGCATTTCAAAAAGTGGTGGGGTCAAACTCAAACACTTACCTCTTAAAGCTGACCCTCTCCCCCCACCTTCACTGCTGATAGCAGTGAAAAGTGAACAGACTGAAAGGTACACAAACCGCCGTTTCTTATCTGTTTCTGACTTCCGGTCAATCTGAGTAGCGACACGTCGACAAACAGAACCTTAACGGCCAAACAAAGCTGCGCAGGAGCCGCTGAGTGACCGACAGAGCGGGAGGAGACTTCAAAGAGTTAACACTGAGGCGCTAACGCTCAACTCAACATCTCCCTAAACACATCACAACCCCAGGAGCTTCATTAAACTCTCTCCGGGGTCCTCTGGGTAGAACCGCACTGCGCTCCACGGCATCTGAGCCTACTGACCGATTCACATCCGACACGCTGCAGACAACAAACACAGCAGTGACACAGAGCTCAGACGCTTCAGGGAGAAGAGTGGAGCCGTAAGAGCCTCACAGCTGTGCAGCGTTACTGTAAACGCCTTCTTCTCAGCTTGGAGAGAGAAAGAGAACTTTTACCTTCAGAAATCACACGATTGATCACGGAAACACGAGGAGAAGCTGTGTGGAAAGTGCAGATTCTGAACTTTCCGCCCAGATCACATCAGTGTTTTTACAGAAAAGAGGAGTTATTTTATTATGATTTTGAATCTGATTTAGATTTATAGTTGTGAGTCTTGTTTTTTGTGAAAAGAAAAAACATCCTTTACCCGTTTTTGTCATTTTTTGACATTAAAACAAACAGAAAACATCAGTAGTGCAGGTTCAGACCTGTTCACACGGAACATAAACCAACATTTAAATGTAATCTGTTGTGTAATTATGCATTTAACAATGAAAGGATGTAATTACTAGGGCTGTCAAATGTTTAAATACTCAACCACGATTCGCTGTTGTCGGGGAAAAAAAAACCTCGCATCTCCATTTTTGACGTTTTTCAGTTTTTGACATAATTTGAAAATACCTGTTGACCTTTACATTGTGTGTAAATTTCATGATGTCTGGACTAAAAGAAACAAAACAAAAATTCTGGTTCCATTGACTTACATTAAAATTAATGTAAGTTTTTTACTTCTCCTGTAAATTTATCATTTTGGAGATACAAGGTTTCTAACAATGGCGAATTGTTTTCACTCTTAAAAAACAGATGGTTCTTCAGTAAAACAGTGGTTCTATACATAACCATGAACACCGAAGAAACCCTATGCATGATTAGAGAGTTCTTTGCATTATGAAAGTGTTCTTCAGATTGATAGAGAATGTGCTATAGATGGTTCTATATAGACATCATAACAATAGCAACATTTTTTTGGTGCTACATAGAACCCTTTTCAAAAAGATTCTATATAGAACCCCATCTATAGCACATTCTCCATCAATCTGAAGAATCAGATTGATTATATATATATATATATATATATATATATATATATATATATATATATATATATATATATATATATATATATATATATATATTTTGTTTGTTACCATGTCTTTATTTATCCTACCTGCACCAGGAAGTGTTCGGGCATGGTGTCGGAGATCCGCCCCATTTTATAATGAGTCCTTGGCAATTCATCATGAATCTGGAACTCCTGCCTGCAGTTATAGCTGAGGAGACACAAACATTAGCACACATTACATTTGCAGCAATATTTATTGACTTTACTTATTCAATCATTTTACTTAATTTTCGGTATCATATGTATATAAATACATATAGTATGTATGCATTTAGTTTGTACATAATGAATTCATGAATAATAAGATTATACGACTAAGATTATAATTGTACATGTATTCTTTGCTCAAACATGATAATAAGAGTTTTTATATTTTAAGATAAGTGGGTTTTGTTGCACCTACACAAGTTCAAATTCACAGCACTGCAGTAGCTGGAAACAACTCTAGAATTCATAAGTTATTAGATAATAAGATTATTAGATTATAATCACACTTTAATAAACATGCATATTGTGTTGTACATGTGTAAATTATTACTAAATAATTAAATAAGCAAACTGAGGGAAAAATACTCTTGCTTCTGCAAACTTGTCTGCTTAGTTTTATTACATGCACTGAGTTACAGTAATTTAGTCATTCAATTCAATTCATGATTCAGTGAATTTAACAGATTTTCACTGATAGTATAACTACACAAAATTTCACCCACATTTTAGACCAATCAGAGGCGTTTTTCCTCATCATACCACATTTAATTACTGGGCATGATGAATGAATTAATTAATAAAGAAAACATATTAAAACCTAATCAAATATCTAAATAACTATAAAGTGAGTAAAAGGGGATCTAACCCGTGTAGTTTAGAAACAGAGCAGAATAAAGATGCGTCAATACAAAATATTGAAAATCAAATTGAATTTTGACCTCAAAATTGAAAATAGCAAAAAAGTGTTTATCACTATATTTACATACCAACATTAACATATGAACACAAGGCAGATATTCAAGCACTCCTTATTTTCATAATATAGAAAAATTATAGTGAAATGCAGCCCCAGCAAAGTAAAGATGAGCTAAAATATATCAGCACATCCTCTACAGAGGACACACTTAAATACAACACCTTTCTGCAAATTTTACTGCACAGTTTTTAATTTGCTTGAAAAAATTAAACATAAAATATAAAATGTTTCAGTATATTTACTATGCAACATTTTAGGTTTAATAAAATCTCCAAAATAGTAACTTTACAGTAGAGGGCAAAAACCTTCTTTGCTTTCAATGCAGGTTAATGGAAAGAGTTTTTATTCTAATTTATAGTTTATTCACAATTTTGGAGCATTTCTATTGGTCCAATCATCACGAAATTTTCACACAATGTAAAGCACAGATACATGCTTTTCATTGGACAGCGATGAAATATTATGTTATTCTTTTTCTAAATGAAAATAAGTAACACATCCTCTACAGACATCTCCACACTTTGATGCACACTTTCTGTTTATTTGCTGAATTTAAAATATTTGGGGGGATAAAACATAAATCATAAAATGTGGCTTCTGCAAAAGACACACTCTGTATTATATGTTTTACTTTTTCACCCCAATATGTATATAAACAGTAACTGTGCATCAAAATGTGCAGCGCTGTCTTTATAGAAGAGAGGTATCACTGGATACCAAACAGCGTTAGTATAAAATATTAGAACACAAAAACGGGGAAAAACAGGTGAAGCAACGGTTAATTACACTTAATAAAACATGTAATTTGACCAGGGGTGCACAAACTTTGCACACAACCATATAAATGATATAAATGAAGCAAAGCAGTGAAGAGCAGTACAGCAGGAAGAGGAGGTGGAGGGTAAAGAATGGAGGTGGGGGGTTTGGGGGGTTGAGGGGGTGTTGATGGGGGGGGTTTGTCTGACTTTCACACACCAGGACTGAGTAAACACCCTCCCACACAACCGCCCCCCCCCAACCCCCCCAAACACACACACTTCCTCCATTAGATCAAATATTGTGTGTTTGGGTGGAACGTCTCACATCAGCGTCGCTCTGCAGGACGACAGAGCGGTGAGGGAGGGTCTTATCTCCAGCACCGTGGACCACCAACCCAAACCCAAACGGGGGGGTGGGGTGGATTAGAGTCTGTGTGTGCTTTAAAACAGGAGGCGGGTCTTACGTGATAACGACGGGGGCCACCTTGTTGGTGATGATGGACTTGGCCTTGCTGTTGTGGATGCTGACCGTCTTTAAGGAGGCGTTGCCTAGTGACTGCCTGCTGTCCATCATCCCGTTGCCGTGCAAACTCTCAGGCGTGGTTGGGGGCGCAGCACTGGCAGTTGTACCCATAATCCACTAGCAGCTGTCAATCACATCACAGGAGAAATATTTAACACATGATTCCACTTTTCCTGATTGATCAGCAGCTTTTTTCACATTTATCATTATTTACTGTTTATTCTGGGTTGTTTATTTGATTAAATGACTGAACTTAAAGGACAACAAAAAGCTGCTATCTTTTTCCTATATGTGATAAAAAAAACATGCTAAACTTCACATCTTACTAATATTATGGTGTATTTTTACATGTTTGCTATTCAAATTACTAAGTTATTAAAATTGCAATTTAAAAGAAGGAATTTTCAAAATGTGAGAGCTACAATTTTCGTCACACCCTAAATTTCAACATTCAGCACTGCCACAAAAACTTTCACGTGTAAAACTGACCCTCACAGAGCAGCTGAACTGGCAGTTTGGCTACATTCAGTCCAAAACAACCGATGTTCTGCTCTTCTTGGTAAACTGTGGTCAACTTGTGTTAATCTTAAGTGAACTTTGGCCTCAAGTTTTCCCTTTAACCGTAAATGAGATGCATCTTTCCAGGTAATTATTTAAGTAAGAAGGGTAAAAAAAAGTAAGTCGAGTTTTACATCCTCAGCTTAAGTCTCAGCACAGATTTATAGCTTTAAATTTATACCTGAAGACTTTAACGGAAGCTTACAATGTAAGATGTTTCATGAAAGCAGCCACTGATTTAATTAATCAAATTTAAATCGAAAGCGCCACAGTGGTCCAAAAAAATCAATCTAAAACTAAAACTAACTAACTAATCAAAACTAAAATTAGTAACCACTGAAAACATAATTACCTTTTCCTACACAGTCATATTCATTTTCTAAGTGAAAAACTTTTCTGCACATTTTAATGCATAATTTCTATTTATTAGGAAAGTTTAACATTTTTGGGGAAAAATAAAACACAAAATATTCTTTCACAGCCCACATTTTACGTTTTTTTCCCTATATGCCAACAATGAAACAGTAACTGTGCATTATAATATATCAAGACACCAAAGTATTGCATCAAATTTTGAATTTTGTCTCATTAACCTGGAAAAACCAAAAACAAAAACCATTCAAACATCAAACATCAGGCGTGTGGAAACGTTCGGCCTGAATTTCATGTTGTTGTTCATTTTCTAAGTGAAAATAAGTTACAGAGTTACACTGCTGCACATGATAAAGCACAATTACTGTTTAATTGGTGAATTTAACATGTTGGAATAAAACTAAAACATAAAATGTGGCCTGTGAAAAAGTTATGGCACATTTAATATTGAAAAAAATAATACACAAATGTGTTAAACTCAGCAGATAAATAGAAATTTGCAAGAAAATTTTATACTGAAGTGTGCTGTCTGTTCAAACCTTTGCATACGATTGTATATGATTAAAAACGAGCTAATCAATCACCCGTTATCAGTCATTATTTGTTTAAGTGACTGACTGAACAAATGAGCTTAAAGCAAAGTCGTTACTTAAAGCACATTTTCACTTTTCTTCTGTCTGATCGTGGCCACTGTAACACCTGCAGATGTGAGGTGTTTACACACGTTTGTCGCTCTCCAGTCCTCCACTCAGCGGGATTAAACTCCCAGCTGGAGGGTCAATAACAAACATTGCGGTGACCTCACACGGCAGATAATTCATCAGTGGACACAGAGCCCAAAAAACACGGCCATTTTTGGTGTGTCCTCCTCGAGCTTCAGCTCGGCTAAAGACCTTTAGATAATCTCAACCTAAACAGTCTTTTCTAGTGCGCACCAAAACAAAAACTCAAAACCAAAAAATTCAGCCGCACTTGCCTAAAAACCAAAACTTAATGATTATATGTAATTCTCTATTTTTAAAAACATAATAATACTGACGACTATTTAAAGGGGATGATCACTGTGTTGGGAAAGAGAACTGAGAGAACTAGAGGACTGATTTGATTTTAAACAGCTTAAATAACCTTAAATATTAAAAGTTGTAAAATTATGAAAATACTATATTTCATGGTTTTCCACAGGCATCTAAAGCTGAACTCCAGAGCGCCCCCGCTATAACAACAGAAAACATTCTCCAACAGGGGGCGCAATGAGCACGCACGTCGCTTTAGAGCTTGTCAACTGAAGAGAAGAAACAGCCATGCACCCACACCAGCAGGATCTAACCCACACACGCTTACAGTAACACCATCAAAAACAGAGACTTGTTACCAAACGATACTGAGTTACTCAAGAAAATACAGAGTTACTCAGTATTAATTATGCAGTTTCCATTAAAGAGTTTCATTAATTCAGTTAATGGTTGAAGTGTGTCATACAGAGTGCAGCTGCAGCTGACCGGGTTTGAGTTTCACTGCTGATCTACTGGTCAAACTATGTCAACACGTCTTGAGTAAACGATCAATTTTAACAGTTTTTTTACAGGCCTGTTGAATTTTTTGCTTTAAAAATGAAAGTTTTGACCATTTTCAGTGTCTGAAACTGCAATGAATCTCTAAATGAAAACATGCCTAAGACACGGCAACAGCGAGCAACAACAAAACTCCCATCTGCGACACATACAATAGAAATAAAGCAACGTGCTGCCACTGGACACACTGGAAACTGTCATATGAAGCTGAATTTCTTATATAAACACTTTAAATAAAAAATTTAAAATGTATATATTTTCATATATTGACATTTATGCATATTTGGCTGTTATGGACATGTTTCTTCAAGCCCGGATGATGAATGTTGCTATATTCCGTGCTGGTGTATTCACCGACTACATGCACTGGAGAATATAGTCCCACTAGCGCATGAGGCTGCCACAGGGCAACTAAATATTCTTCTAATATTTAGGTTAATTATGCAATTTTCATTAGGAAAAACATTGAGTTTTCATATTTATTTGGTAATTAACTCATTAAAGGGTTAAAATCTGTACCCTACTTTAGAGGGCTCAATCAATCAATTTGATGTGGCAAAGACTTTATAAGAAGTGTTTCACCCCAGCTTATTGAATGAGGCAGCCAATTGGAACAGAGCTCATTTACATATAGATGATATGTCCAAAAGTATGTGGACACCTGATCATCACACCTCATTCCAAATCCAGAGGCATTAATATGGAGTCCACTCTTCTGGGAAGCTTTCAACAAGATGTTGGAGAGAGTCGGTGGGATGTGTGTGTCCATTCAATCATTTCAGAGCATTTGCGAGGTCAGACACTGATTGGACGAGAGGGCCTGGCTCACAATCTCCGTTCTAGTTCATCCCAAAGGTGAGGTCAGGGCTCTGTGCAGGCCACTGGAGTTCCTCTACACCAAACTGGTCAAACCATGACTTTATGGAGCTGCTTTGTGCACTGGGGCTCAGTCATGCTGGAACAGGAAAGGTTCTTCCCCAAACTGTTCCCACAAAGCTGGAAGCATAGAATTGGGTAAAATGTCTTTATGCTGTAGCTTTAACATCACGCTTCACTGGAACTGAGGGGCCCAACCCCTGAAAAACCACCCCAGCCCATCATCCCTCCTCCACCAAACTTTACAGCTGGCACAGTGCAGTCAGGCAGGTAAGGTTCTCCTGGCATTCGCCAAACCCAGACTCGTCCATCAGACTGACAGATAGAGAAGTGTGACTCATCACTCTGTAGAATACGTTTCACTGCTCCAGAGTCCAGTGGCGGCGCTTTACACCACTCCATCCGCCGCTTGGCATTGCGCATAGTGATCTTAGGCTTAACCGAAACACCTGAACTTAAAGGCACAGCAACAAAAAACAGCCCGAGATAAAGAGAGGCTGGAAAATAATTGGTTTTGGTACATAAAACCAAGCGGCAATTGTAAGTGGGTTTAACTAACTATATTAAAAACATAAGAGCCCTTTAAACAGAACGAATATTTAGAAAACACATTGTTTTTACTGTATTTTGCAAATGAACAGTGTTTCCGTAACTACCAAGCTTAAACGTCCAGGATCTGAACCCACTGCTGCTCAGCGAGACACCCTGAACAGAATGAAAATGCACTGGCCGATTTTAACACAACCCAAATATTTCTGCAGCCCTCATCCGTCTTCCACAGCAACCAGAAGCCTTACTGAGCACTCAGTGGATAAACAAACGCCACTAGCGCTAACACTCTCCCTCTCTTCATATCCATCTTTCTGTCTCCTCTCATTCCGGCTTTTTTCCCCCTCCTCTCTCTCTCTCTCTCTCTCTCTCTCTTTCTCTGGTGCCACCTTGTCTACAGAAACAAAGCAGAGTAGAGTAACTGCAAACCCTCTTAAAGGGCCCAGATCACAGAAAACCACACGCTCAGCACTTTCTGAAATGAAGGAGTTTGATATTGTATAAAAAAACACTGTTAAATTTTCAAAACATGCCATTCACTCTCTATCCCGATCAGGCATAACATTATGACCACCTCTTTGTTTCTACGCTCATTGTCCATTTTATCAGCTCCACTTACTATATAGGTGCACTTTGTAGTTCTACAGTTACAGACTGTAGTCCATCTGTTTCTCTGATACTTTGTTAGCCCCCTTTTACCCTGTTCTTCAGTGGTCAGGACCCCCATGGACCCTTACAGAGCAGGTACTATTTGGGTGGTGGATCATTCTCAGCACTGCAGTAACACTGACGTGGTGGTGGTGTGTTAGTGTGTGTTGTGCTGGTCTGAGCGGGACATGCACAGCAGGACTGTGTCACGGCCCTGACTTGGCCCACAGGCCCCGTGTTTGACACATAGGTTCTTAGGGATAGAGAGAGGTTGGAAAACGGTCATGTAGAAATGAAGTATGATTGTTTTTGGGACATAAAACCACACAAAAGTTACAAATGGAGTTACAAGTAAAATATAGTACAAGAAAAATGTCGGATATGGGCCCTTTGACCCCTTTTTTCCACTTCATTACACATCTGCGCAGCATCCTAGTTTCACCAAATACTCTTTTTTCATTGTTAAGCTTTGGTTGAAAACAAAATGCTTAAAATCTTAAAACGCCCAATAGAAAAATGATCAAATCAGGATTGTGT